TGATTTTTTTTGGGTTGCAGTTTTTTAAATTGGTCAATGCAACAGTTATTTAAAGAGTGGTTTCATTTAATGGCAGAATTTCTTAAATTTTTTTGGTTGTATTCCGTGGGCGAGTAGTCCGTGAATACGGTCCTGACTTTATAAAATATATATTATATAATAAAAAAAAGCATAAGCATTGCATTTGGAAACAAAACCTGCATCGATTTCCTGTTGAACCGGAAGTTTCAATCTACGATCGCATAGATCGTAATGTCACATATAAAATTATATTTGACAAACTTTTCGTATCTCGCCAAATAAAATAGATATTGATGTAACCCTCTGATCTCGAACGCACTGTATAGTCTACCTGCTACCTAGGTACCTGAATAACGACTTCTCTCATAATATAAAATCAATAATTCAATTCTTGCCAAAAACACAAGGAAAGCAATGTATGTTACGTAAGAAAATTATCGCTCCCTTGTAAATAGATCGTATTTTTTTTGGAACCAACCCCTAAATGCGGAGAGTTCCATTGCATTTCCTTCGATATAAGATTGTGTCAAGGCATATGTAATTAAAATCACAAAATCCGACACATTTTCAGGTTTTCAAGGTTTCAATAATTTTAAATTGCAAGGAATCACTAGGCCCACAAGGCCCGGGCATACTTATGATCATTTCAACTTCAAAAAAAGGAGAGCTGCAATTAATTATACAGGCTCCTGTAAGAGTGCGCCGGTCTTATCTACCTTATACCTGGCAAGAAACATAACTGGTTGTCAGGTACTGAATCCGGCTATTTTTCACAGGGCCATTGCAATTATCTTTGGTCATAGTATAACATTTAAAAAATGCCCTTTGGGGCCTTTATTTTGAACCCGGCGCAAAAAGTGTAGAAGACTTTGTATATCTCATCAAGACACATCTCTTTTGTATTTAACATCTTTCACTCTCATCGAGAAAAATGCAAATTTAAAAAAATAAAATAAATAATATAACTTTGGAATTCAAAACTTCTCAAAAACTAAAAAACTCACAAAAGAAACTGTCATGAACTTTTTTGTAAAGTGTTTTAAGCCACTTTGGTCAGCGCATGCGAAAAACGAATAACAAATTTCAGGCCGTCATGGCTCTTTTAAACTTTTGACACCCCCAACAACCATGAAGATGATGGTTACGGATCAAAACCAAAATAGGACGTTTCGATTCCCCATAACAGCCTATATGCACCCCAAATTACTTTTTTGGGCTCTGTGGGCTTCAAAACGTCCAGAAAAACGCAATATTGGCGTATCGAAAATTGATCACGATTACAATATTTTACCCAAAATCGTCCTGAAACCTTCATTTTCATGCCTACTTCCTGTCAGGAAATTTTAGTTTCCATGACAGAAGCAGAGCAGTAAAATGTCATTACCTGACTCGGAAATGTATCATTTTCTTGACTATGTAAATAAGTATTCCTTTGTACATACTTTGTATGTAGTCGGAAAGTAAAAAACCTTGTGCAAATGTCACTACTACTATAATAAATAAAATTTTTCAATGTACAAGGTGTTCCATTTTTACAGTAAAAATAAATAACTAATTTTTTTAAATAGAACACTGTATGTTTTTAGTTGTCCATTTTTACAGTAAAAATAAATAACTAATTTTTTTAAATAGAACACTGTATGTTTTTAGTTGTCACGATGTCATTCCTTAACCTCTACATAAAACCTATTCACTTTTTGTTTCTTGTTGTCAATGTTGCCATCTTATTAATTCTGAATAATTCCCCATAAGTAAACTTCACCTTGTTAATAATAATAATAATATTTATTTTTCATGCTACTACGCAAGAGCGTCATTTGTCATAATGAATCGTAGCAACCCTGTTTGTTGAAGTTAAGAAAAGAATTTGCACAATAATGTTGATCCGCGTAAAAAGCAACACTTTAATAATGATAAAGTTAGACTTAGATACAGGGTGTTCACAATGAAATCGTAAAATTTTTGACTTTCAAAAGTGACAGCCCTTTGAATTGAGTAGTCGATTTTTGGTAAAAAAGGGAAGGTTAAGTATTCAAATACTTTGCGAAGTATTCGAATACTAAATATTTGTGAAAGTATTTGAGTTACAAATACAAATACTGCTTCCATAAAAGTATTTAATTATAAAGTATTTGAATACTTTAAAAAGGATTTGAATACTAAAAAGTATTTACAGAATCGAATACTGCCCAGCTCTGGTACTGAGTAGGTAGCATTTTTTTTTATTAAGAATACAACGATTTCCGGCACAAAAAACCCGTTAGAACATTACTATTATCACACTAAATGCTTAATTAGGGGGCAGCAAGTACCGCGTTGTTCAAGATTTTTTATCTTGCTAATACAACGATGTACGGCACGATTTTTGGTAAAAAAGGAAGGTTAAGTATCAAATACTTTGCGAAGTATTCGAATACTAAATATTTGTGAAAGTATTTGAGTTACAAATACAAATACTGCTTCCATAAAAGTATTTAATTATAAAGTATTTGAATACTTTAAAAAGGATTTGAATACTAAAAAGTATTTACAGAATCGAATACTGCCCAGCTCTGGTACTGAGTAGGTAGCATTTTTTTTTATTAAGAATACAACGATTTCCAGCACAAAAAACCGAAGTTGGAAACTGTTGGTTTCAACAGGATGGTGCACCCGTGCACAACGCTCTAATCGTGCGAGAATACCATCGGACAAATTTTCTATCTTTCAGGAAATTTGTTCCTCCTCTCCCCCTTTCTTCCACCACGTATTAAATCCAGCCATGGGAGTTATGTAACGCATTGCAAAAAAATACTATTACAAAAACGGCCATTGAAAGGAAGATTAAATTAGCTAACATTTTCGTAGGAATAATTAGAAAATTGTCTCATGTAGGTACTTAAAAATGCACATGCTTGTAAAGTGTGTAAAATAAACCAGCGTGAATGCAACTAATATTGCGCCGTTTGTCCGGTCTCTATTTCGCAATTCGACCTAAATGGCTGACAGGACAAGGCTGTCAGCGTGCACTGGTGACCACGGGTCATCAGGTTAATGTTAGCGTATACATAGCAAACAATGCATTACAATGTAGGTGTCTGGAGTACTAAACGATTATTTCCATACCACACCATTGCAAATGAGCCATAATTTTTCAGGCACACATTTCAAATAGCTGTTCTGTCCATGCACGTTGCTTCTTTGCATGAAAAATTTAATACGAAGAGCAACAGCTTGCTTTTTTCTACTCACAAATCCTCAGAATCTTTCAAGGAACCTAAGCAATTCTAATTCTAAAATGTGGCGTACACAAAGAGACCTTAATTGAATCGTGTTGTATGTACGAAGGTTCAACTCAGGAATACAATCAAGCACTTACACATGGACGAGCACTTACGAAATTGCTCACATTGAATGTCAAAATCTTAATGACCAAACGAACTTCGGTGTTAATTCTCTATAAAAACTGGGTCAACCTTTCAATTCATTTGGAAGTACTTTTCAAGTGATTTAATTCGTTTACTTGCAATTTATGCCGCTACTTTACACCTACCTACCCACCTATTTACGCCACGCCGAGACATCCTTTTTCGCGAAGTTGTTAATTAAATTCGGCAAAGGTCTCTTTAAAGTGTTTGTAGAATAATTAGACCGTGTGTAGTCAAGTGGACGATTGACCTAGACTTTTTCCGAATCTGCAGAATGGCAGAGATTCAAGACGCACGTGAAAATAATATTCTGGCCCGAGTGGTTTAAATCTTCTATCTGGTGTTACTTGCTTTAGAATCGAAGGGGGTTGTTCTCGTCAAACAACAAACATATCACGAGGGCTCGCAAGAGGGTGTTTTATTAGAAGAACAGGGCATGTTGTTCTATCAACAAAAGATTAAGGAAGGGTATTAAAAAAATCCGAAGATGTATAGGATCTAGTTTCCTTTAAAACCAAAGGGGCCCATTTTGTGCAGGTGTCATTTGATTCGACAGTGCCCCGTTAGTACACCTATCAATAGGTAGAAATCATTCCTACTGAGTTTCAGCAGGTTCTTGGAGTAGAGTTTTGGCTTGCCTCCAATCTTTAATTAAATTAATTAAATAATTAAAATTATTCGTATATCCAAAACGTAGTTTGGGTAGATTTATGACAAAAAAATTGGTCCTCAGATAAAGCGCCAATTTTAAATATCCCATCAAGATCAAAATCGATACGTTACCTGAACTACACCTTTAAATCAATAAATTCTGTAAAATGCTTTATTTGATGCTAACGTTATAGGTTAACTGCAAAATGTATGTTAAATCAATACACAATTTAAATTGATATTCTAATGATAAACTCAATTATAATGTACCCCCAAAGTCATACGCGCAAACGATGTAACGTGGGATGGGAAGTAAGTAGGTCGACCACAATACCTCTTCTAAGCTGCTCGATTGGTGTTGAAAATTTGCTTCTACCCGTTGATCAATTGTTGATGTGTATGGAAAAGCATTCTTGGAACAATATTTAGCACTTTTTCCACAAAATATATAGACACCACACTAAGATAGAGGGTATAAATACAAGTGCATTCGCGCTCGAAAGTATTTATACGGGCAGCTTAGACGCGGAACCTGCACTAGTTTGTTTCGCGCATCCAAACCGTGCGTTACCAAGCGAATCGTATTTTTGGCGATACTTGAAAGACCGAAAATTAGCACATTTTGATACATGTTGAAATAATTGTATTTAACCATTAAGACATATTCTGTCTTCTAAATTGTCAACATTTTTCTTCACGTGATTATTAACGCATTAACTCTACATCTATCTTACCCCTATTCTCTAGAATTCGCTTATAATTTAACGCAATGGTTTAATACATTAGATATGGACATCAGTAAGTACACTTTCAAAAGACTTAGAACTCGCATTTTTTCGAAGTCGTTACGGCAATAATAATAAGAGCATTATTCAATTTTGTTTCTTATATATCTATTGTTAATAGTTTTGTTTTACTTACTAACGGTGCTGGAATCATTACGAGTTAGATGGAAGAGCAGGGGTAGACCTTCTACTCACGAATCTCGCCCTTAGCAGTGTATTTTTCGTGGCTAGCTAAAACAAAACAAATAAAGACTGTTATTATTATTATTAAATGCGTACCATAATATGTAAATAAAAATACTCGTTTACAAAATGTATAATACAAAAATGTATACAGTCCATCATTGTGAATGTATATGCACAATTGTAACACCGCACGAAAGATTGTACCAAGTTGCAAAATACTTTGCAAAACAAGAGTACAACACGCCAACAAAACAGCACGCACGTTTAGCATTTAATCTAAAATTAAATCACATAATAATGTAGGTAACATGAAAAGTAAAAATAGAATGTTAAAAAAATCTATTGTGAGGTTTTTTAATGGTTAGTTAACCTTGCTTGTAAATATTGTTTTGTCGTTAATTAATTTTAATTGAGTTATTTTTTTATTGCTTCTTTGTAAACTTTTGTGCATTTCAAAGTAATTGATCGTAAAAGCTAGTTATTAACATAGTAATAATTCAAGCAAAATTTATACTGTCAGGCAAGGTTTAATGCTTGGACAAACTTATGATCGATTAGTAGGGGTGAAGATTTTGACTAATACCAGAAGATGTTTTTGTATATTTATTTTATGAATTTTTGTCTTTGAGATAGGCGAAACCAAGTAAATCAAGTACAAAATGTTTTGCTCTAAAAAGCTCTCTCCCGACAACGAAGCATACATGTGACAAGAGACGCTTTATCCACACGGTTGCAGAGAAGCTCCGGGCAAGAACACTCTCCACCTCGGAGTCTGAAAGGCTGGAATAATTATAATAAATTGGAGACTAATTTTGCACTCATCAGGAGGGATGTAGGAGAATAAATTGGATACATCAAATGAAGTTAAAGAGTAGGATTCTGGGAGAGCTTAATTTGTGAATGTGGTTAGTTAACTGGTGTGAATTTTTGATGGTAAAGATAGGGGTAAAATTTAAGAAACGGGTCAAGGTGTGGTTAAACAACTGGTGATTTTGGATTCCAGAAACTTACCACTGGTCGAAACCATGGTTTGCCAATGAAGTCCAAGACCTTATCTACATAATCTGCTTTATCTAAGACGACACAACAGTTGGCAGCATTTTGGCAGTCTCTCATTGAACAAATTGTTTATTTACACGAATTTATTTGTAACCGTAAAATTCCTTAATTGATTTCAACTTTCGACTGTAGGCTCGAAACGCCGAAACCAGGGGCGAGTTATCTATCTTGAGGCAAGATTACGCTAATCAAAACAAAGGATAATCATAATATAGACACTGTTCTGTGAAGAATTTGGCAGCTGATTAATTGTAGAAAAGTCATTTCACACATGATTAATTAGGAAATAACGAATCTTCCATATCTTATGGCCAATTGCATTCTGTCTTCTTCGCAATGAGTTTCATAGATCTGTATTACTCATCCAGAAATCGCGCAGATCTCATTTATTATGAACATTAACAACGCTATGAAACTATAAAATGGTACGGTTTTGTTAATCTCAAGATGAATCCCAAGAGAATACATCGTCGAGTCTAAGCAGGTATACGAAACGAAAGGGAATTGTGAAGTAGTCATTAAATACGCCATTGTGAAGTGAACGCAATAATTACTCGTTAAAACAAGGACCTTCAGAATGCTACGGCCCTTAGAGGACTTACAAGCATATTTAAGTATCTGCTCTGCAAAAAAGAATGTTAAAAGAAGGTGTTTTTTTAAGGTAAAGTCGTATAAAATAGAATGCTTCATGTCAAAGATATGCAATAGTAATTATGCTTTATTATTATTTATAGATTGACTGATAATATATAAATATCCACCTGTTAACACAAATGTTTTTCAGACCGAATCATATTATGCAAGACGCAAATTGCACGTACCGTATGCACACATCTCAAATCATAAAATATCTATACAATTATTAATTACTGTCTTTCATACGGTTGTCTCAATAGACATTTCGATCCCAAACGGATTGATGGATTAGGTAATGAATGTCTATACTGCTGCCTGGAAACATACGTAATGTAAATTTCCTTTTGTTTTATCTGTTGCGTTGAAGATGTTATTACGAATGATCTTTCCAGTTTTCTTTTCTTGAGGAAATGGAAATCTAAAAAAGGCAGTGTATAAACCTTCCTTTTTTACCAAAAATGGACTACACCAAAATTTCTCGGGAAAACACTTTTTCTTATTAATTTTGGTGCGTAGAATCCAAAACAATTCGTACTTTTTCGATCAGACTTCTCAATCAAAAGTTATAGACTAGAAACCAATTTCGAAAGAAAATTCAAAGGGCTGTAACTTTTGAACTAGTAGCCCAATCTTGGAACTGTTTGAAATTATGGATTCTACAGGCCACATTCTATAGGAAAATGTTTTTTTTTCCCGGTTGATCTGAGACAATTTTTTTTCGAAAAAAAAGGCAGTGTACAACCTTCCTCTTTTACCAAAAATCGACTACACCAAAATTTCTCGGGAAAACACTTTTTCGTATTCATTTTGGTGCGTAGAATCCAAAACAATTCGTACTTTTTCGATTAGACAGCTCAATCAAAAGTTATAGACTAGAAACCAATTTCGAAAGAAAATTCAATAGGCTGTAACTTTTGAACTAGTAGCCCAACCTTGGAAATGTTTGAAATTATGGATTCTACAGGCCACATTCTATAAGAAAATTTTTTTCCGGGTCGATCTGAGACAATTTTTTCTTCGGGGCAAAAAAAAGGTAGTGTATAACCTTCCTTTTTTTTACCAAAAATCGACTACACCAAAATTTCTCGGGAAAACACTTTTTCGTATTAATTTTGGTGCGTAGAATCCAAAACAATTCGAACTTTCTCGATCAGACTTCTCAATCAAAAGTTATAGACTAGAAACCAATTTCGAAAGAAAATTCAAAAGGCTGTAACTTTTGAACTAGTAGCTCAATCTAGGAAATGTTTGAAATTATGGATTCTACAGGCCACATTCCATAAGAAACTGTTTTTTCCCGGTCGATCTGAGACAATTTTTTTCGGGGCAAAAAAAAGGCAGTGTAAACCCTCAGATCACAGAATTTTTGTGTGAATGCCAATGTAGAAGAGTTTTCGTTTACCATGACTTCTGATGTACCTACTCCCAATATTGTAATCAACGGGGTTAAGAGGCTACCTGTAACTTGCAAATACGTTATCGTACTTTTGGAAGTATGGGCTGGTGCACCATCTTGTTGAGTGGTCCTCTTTTCCACGAAGTATGTCATCCCCTTTGGTTTCCAATTTGATATTTAAACACAGTTCTTTTTTTGCAACACATTAAGTATTCGAAAAATGTGGATCTCTTAAAAAATAAAACTTGACACCCTTGCGTTGAAAATATGTCAGCGTATCAAATTTTTATATCTCATATTAAAATACCTAAGTACATAATATTGACATTTACTATACACGTATCAATTAATCGGTAGCGGTCTTTCAATTTAATGGCTTTCATTCAGTTAGTTCCATCGCCATAATTATAAATATTTATATAAATATTGTAGGTATGTAGGTGGACAGCATTAGTGAATATATAATGCCCAGTTTAAATTAATTTGATCGGTTTGCCAAAAAAATCTCGTTTAATTAATGAAAGTAAACTAATCCTAGCGTTTTGTGAAACGCCGCTTTGTTGTAATGACCTTTCAGAGATCGTTTTGTAACAATTTAAAAATCGTGGATGGATTGTCCATTACCTACTGTTATTTGCCAGTGCCCTTGAAAGGCGCCCATTTCGAAATTTTGATTGTTGCATGTAAGACAGGTGCTCGTCCTCAGCAGTGTTGACAATCAGACCGTATCTAATTTTTCATTCGTAATGGCTACATTAATTGCTATAAGTATTCGCTTTTATGTGTAATTAAACCATTACATGCAAATAAACCGAGATTAACGAAGCCATTTGGAATTTCTATAAACGCTTTGTGGAGGAAATCGATTATTTTCTTATTAAATTTCAAGTTCGAAGGGAGTGTTAACATCAAAATTTATGCAAAAATAGGTCCAGTAAGAATAGAAGCGTATAGATGTAACGGATCTTCCTTTAGGATCCGTTTATTATTAATATTTAAAATGGTGTTAATTTATTTTTATTATCGTTGACAATTGTGTATAAAAAAACCGCACCTTGACAGCAGCAAAAGTTACGTATAACTTTTAAGTAGCAAATGCACCAGTGGTTATTTAATTTATTTATTTTCTAATCAATTATCGCGTTATTCATTTCTCATATGACTATAGTTTGAGATTTGTTAATAATGGATTGGTTTGGTGAATTTCTTGTTCGTTAAATTGTTCTGCCGAATTACACTCGAGGTTTGTATTTAGACCGAGTAAATTTGCGTTGAAATTCAAATGTTTCCTTTAGCAATTTGACTCGAATTGGCTCACCTCAAACGATTTTGTCTTTATATATTCTACTCTAGAGTGTAGTTGCAATTTTTATTCTTATACCAAAGAGTACGTTATATACTCTTTGCTTATACACACTTACATTATACAGGGTGTCCATTATGTATGGAATAGAGTATATATCTCGGTAAATACCGACTGTATACAAATTTGTTCTATATAAAAGTTGTTTAACATTTTATTTCCCAAAATAAGGCATCGTGCAGTTGTTTTTATTTCAGAAAACAAATGAGTAACGGAAAACAATTGAATTTTTAAATGGCAGTGCATCTTTCATTATGCTCATTTGATAGAGATTTTTTTTCTTTTCGATGATATAACATGTCAGTACCCTTATTCAAGGACATAACCTAACCCAAAAAGCTTGAAATTTCTTCTACACGGGTGCTAACGTGTTACGTCATTTCAAAGAGAAAAAATATCTCTATCATATGAGCCTAATGAAATTGTGCATTGCTATTTAAAAAAATTCAATTGTTTTTCGTTATTCATTTGTTTTCTGAAATAAAAACAATGGAATGCTGCCTTATTATGGAAAATAAAATCTTAAACAACTTTCATATAGAAAAAATGTATAGGTATACAGTCGATATTTACCGAGATATATATTATATTCCATACATAATGGGCAATGGGCACCCTGTATATAGGCTGTTTCACACAAACCGTTACCTAAGTTTTTAGACTTCCATTAATAATTTAAATCTGAAAAATTTGCACACCAATATCGTTTTTCATGATCTATCTAAAGAAAATATTATCATGATCGTTTGCTATCGGTTACACCGGATGTGGATAGCAACTTTCTTATTTTAAATAGAACATCCTATATATTATTTCATTTTCGACATCTACATAAAAATCTAC